GTCACTTAGCCCTGTTTGCCTCAGTTTTCTCATCTGTAAAATGAGCTGGAGAAGGACATGGCAAACCACTCCAGTATCTTTGCCACAAAATCTCCAAATGGGTTCTGAAGAGTTGGACATGACTGAATGACAAGAAGCGGTTTTGAAAATCAAAAAAAAAATTTAAATGGATCTCACATGAAGAACCCCTGATCTCTTCATTTTAAAGATAAGGAAACTGAAGCTCATAGAGGTTAAGTGACTTGGCCGAAGATCCTGCAGTAAATAGCAGAGTCAGGATTCATGTCTTTTGCCTTTAGATCCAGTGCTTTTTCCCCTACACAGTGTTGCTTTCATGTATAGAAATTACTTATAATTCATGGTAGAATCACATTCTGTGCAAGAGACATGAAATACCATCACCAGAAGGTTCAGAAGTAGGAGAGATTGTTTCCAGATGACAGAGAATGAGGAGAGGGCAAAGCAGGATCATAGATTTAAACCACGCCTTGAAGTGAGTTGGCAAGTGGAACTGTCAGGGATCAACATTCCAGGTGGGGGAACAGGCTAAGCAAAGGCTCAGAGCAGGAAAGCTTGGAATGTCAGGGAATGTGCAGGGATCATCAAGGAGCTTTGTTTGGCTGTAGCAGAAGATGTGTGAAGAGAAGGTTAGTAGGAGATAAAGATGAAAGGGTAAATTAAGTCCTAATCATGGAGGGCCTTGAATGCCAGGCAAAGGAGATTGGACTTCATTTTTTAGGTAATGGAGAGATATTGAGGATCTTTGAGTCAGGGGTGGGGCACAGCTAGCCTCTTGGCCTTAGACGTTCATCATGCTGGTGCCAGATTTAGCATGGCCCCTCAATTGGCTTTAGCCCTCCTGCAGATCAGAGAAGTCCAGAGCTTAAGCCATCCACTAGCCTCAGCCTCCCCTAGTCACAAAGAATGTAGTCAAGTGCCACCACACCTGGCTTAGAAATGGTTTTATAATGCTATTTTCTATCTTGAGATTTTGCTAGTATTCACACTGCACTTAATCATGGATTCATGCAATAATTTGCTTAAAGCATAACCTTATTTATAATGCAAGTCATTTGAATTGAATTTTTGTACTGTCTTGAGGGCTGCAAACCTACATCGGTGTAACACGTTATTAACTTATCCCTGTAGTATGGGTGCTGTAGTTTGGAAAGAACAGAGACATTCGTGACGGTGGCCTCAAAACAGCTGGCGTCTGACTAGCTGCAGCCTAGAGATAAGCTGGCTTGCATAGCAGAGTCACTGCTGTCACACAGTTCAAACATTTATGAATCAAATGCACTAGGAAGTTCCAAGAAATAAGCCTCTACCAAAAAAAATGTTGCTTTTCTTTTATAACTTCTGGACAGGGTTTAGTTTGTAGTTCTGGAGCCAAGGACTAGGAAATGTGTTAATCAAGGGCCAGTAATCCCTGCCATTCAAATCACACCGGTATCAATTGGTGCCAGTAGCAGTAGCAGAAATAAAATGTTTATTGTCTGAGAAATTTCAAATGAACACAGGATAATTTTTTTTGTTCTAAAAAAATGCACATGCAAAGCCTTGTTGTTTTCTGTTCCAGACAGCCATCGATGTTAATAGTCTTTCTTGTTCATGAGAGGCAGTATGCCATAACATATAAATAACCATCCTTGGAACCAGGAAGATCTGGGTTCAAGCCCTGCCTCTAATACAGACTGCCTGTGTGACCCTGGGCAAGTGACTTAACCTCTCAGTGCTTGAGGCACCTCTCTAAGACTATATAAATTGCAGAGAAGGCTTCATTGGTGGAAGGAGTCTCCTCACAGGAAGTTCCTCAGAGCAAGAAAATCACATCTGAAGTCTCTGAGAACAGGATACATAAGGAAGAGCTGAACCTGTGGGCAAAATTTCTTTTCTAATTTTGAGTACAATTGTCTTTCTTGTGTCTGTTCTCCTTTATTCTTGGGATCCTTTTCATCTATCTATGTGCTTGTAAGAGACAGTTAACTTCTATTGCAGTCAAGATTTTGTAACTCATCCTAGTAACAAATAAGTGTGGTCATGGTTATAATCTCAGCCTCTTCTTCCGGCTTCATTGGGCATTGCTCTCTGTCCCACTTGCTATGATCCAGCAGAAATGGCCTTCTCTCTCTCTCTCTCTCTCTCTCTCTCTCTCTCTCCTTCATTCATGTCACTTCATCTCCCATCTCTCTATACCTTTGTCCTATACCTTTGCACAATAAATCTTTCAGTCACAGCAACCCACAAAGAATGAATACACTTGAAGTCTGAGAGGGACTGTGATCTGTAGCAATGGAGGACCTGCTTTGGCTGATATAATCATGAGCCCCTGAATATGGAAATAGAGATATGCTTTAGGCAGATGAGACACCAAAGATACACAATGAAGCAGTAACAGAGAATGTTATACTAGGCATTTCAGAATTTACAACTTGGAACATGGTGGTCTCTCCTTTAACATTTTTGTCCTCTTTAAAACCTGCATCAACAGCATAGTCTAAGTCACCCTCTAATCTATATGGTGTGACGATAAGCAAGAGAACTTTTAAGTTCTTTGTGGAACTTGGGCACTTTCTAAAGAAATGTCCCTCTTTTATGTTCTTTTCATGGGTCAGAATGGTAAGAATATCATTGAAGAAGCTTTGCCTGGTTCTGTAGGACATTTCATTTTGATGCTTTTGTTTATCACTGTTGCGGGTCATTGCTCCTCCATGCCTTCTCATCTTGTGTAAATATTGTCCCATGTTTTCCTGTGAATTGTCCACAGAAAAGCCACGCTATATTCTAGAAGCCCTCTAGGTCTTTTAGAAAAAAGAATAAGCTGCTTTGTATCAATTCCCAAGCCAAAAAGTTTAAAGCTGAGTAGTTTAAACCTAGGCCAGGACTTTTTAAAAAATTAAATGTATGAACTGATGATGATGAGGGTGGATGATAATGATGAAACAATCAATCAACAAGCATTTATTAAGATCCTACTATGTGTCAGGCATTGTGTTGGGTGCTGGGGATATAAAGACAAAAATAAAGCAGTCCCTTCCCTCAAGAAGCGTACATTCTAATGGAGAAGACAATATGTGTATAAATAGTTACAGACAAGATCCATGCAGAATAGATGGAAGGATAACCCCAGAGGGCAAATTAGTAGTAGTTGATATTACTTTAAGGTTTGCAGAAATACTTCATGTGTTGACTCATTTATTCTGAGTTGTTTTTTTTTTTAAAGGCAATTGAGGTTAAGTGACTTGCCCAAGGTCACACAGCTAATAAGTATCAAGTGTTTGATCTGAGTTTGGATTTGAACTCAGGTCCTCCTGACTTCAGGGCCAGTGCTCTATCCACTGCGCCACCTAGCTGCCCCTATTCTGAGTTCTTTGATGGCTCTTCCTGTAAATGAGAGGTAGTATAGTACACCTGAAGGCAACCTGTTCTTAGGATGCTAGGACGTGAATGAAGTTAGACTCCAACTCTGCCACTCTCTAGCCTTGTAACCTTGTGCAAATTACTTCTCTTATCTGAACCTCAGTTTTCTGAATCTGTAAAATGAAAAGGTTTTACTAGATGATCTCTAAGTCTCCTTCCAATGCTAGATTGAAGGTTTTGTGATCCCCTGAAGCCAGCAAGAGAGAAATGGTTCCTTAGACAATGGTTAACTTTTGAAAACTATAGCTTTCCTGTTTAATAAAAAAACTCATATTTTTATAGCATTTTAATATTACAAAATGTTTTCCTCATTAACAATCTTGTGAGGTAGGTAATGTATGTATATAATTTCTACTTTACCAAAGGAGGAAATCAAGTCTCAGACTAGAAGAATCCATATTCCTTTTTTAGACTGATTCTCAAAAAGAATAGAAAGTGAATGAAATTAAATGAGTGAAAAAGACTACTCATATGCCAAGTATGAGAGATACCAATACAAAAGCAAAAATAATCCCTGAAATCCCTCAAGGAACAAACATGCTCATAGGCTGAAACAACACAAATTAGGGGAATGGTTCTCAGAGAATAGTGTTTTGAATTGGGAAATCAGAGAAGCTGTGAGTAAGACATAGAAGAGTTGATCAACTTATTCTTTCTAATATAGATGGCAGTACTGATTTAATTACAGTTCTCAGAGAAAGAGTTGGAAAGTGGGCTTCAGGGTAACATGTCAACACAATGTGCAAGGTGGAATGTGAAGCAGGACTGGGGCATTCTGTATCTAGTGAACCATAGGAGCTTATGCTCTGTGCACTCACTGATCATGACAGTATGAGCCTCAGGGCCAGTGTTCCAAAGCTTGAATGGATTAAATCACCCAGGGCACCATCTGAGGCCCTGTTGTCTTTGTTTCCCCTGTTGCATCTGGGGTAGCATGTCGGAAGAAAGTACACATACTTTTCCAGGAAAATCTGTAAGGCTTTAGCACTTGGGGTAAGGGGTCCATGAACTTATTTTAATTAATAATTATATTCAGTATAATTGGTTTCCTTTGTAATTTTATTATTTTATTTTATGCATTTAAAAACATTATTCTGAATTGTCAGTAGACTTCACTAGTCTTTGAAAGGTGTCCATGCTGCAAAGAAAGACTTAAGAACCCTTTTCTTAGAAAATGATTTATTCTTCTTTTCCCAATTTCCCAGATTGTGACATTTTAAATTTCTTGTCAGCTTAAAACTGAAAAAGATTTGATTGTATCCTTCTGTAGTTATAGATGGAAAAATTTGATATAGTTGAATCTTAATTGGTATCCAGGGAGGAATGAATGAATTATTGTGGCAATTTTGCCGATTTTATTTATGTGACTCTAGATTTTACATTGACATGAGAAGAGAAAGGAGGGTTTAAAAGGGAGGTAGAATAAGAGCAGCAAATATTTGTGGCTTTCCCTAAAAGTATATACAGATATATTTTGTTTTTATTTATATAGACATTAAGGGATTATGTGTCTGAGGCATCAAAGATACTGTTTGATTTTGTTTCTTTCTTCTCCCCCACCCCACTTTTTTTTTTTTTAGGATTATGACAGCTTTTTTGAGTCAAAGGAAAGCAACACAGTCTTGTCATTCTTAGGCCTGAAAGCAAGATTGCCATCAAAGGTAAATAAATATCTTCTTAATCCCTTTTTGGAATTTATTCTTCTAAAATCCTTGTTAAGGGTGTGGACTCATTGATGCTATCCTATATTTCAGTTTCCATTTTCTCAGCTGATTAACTGATAAGAAATACATTCAGAACAGATCATGGAATTGCAGATATGAATGGGCACTCAGGAATGATCTAGTATAAACCCTACCCAAAAGGCATTCCTGTCAACACCATCTCTGACAAGTGATCATTTGATTGGAAGACCTTCAGTAACAGGAATTCTCTCTCAAGAGGGCTGCCCATTCCATTTTTGGTTAATTCTGTTAGAAAGTTTCAGAAGTTCGGAGCTTCAGTAGGGCTGAAATTGATCAGATGTCCAATATGATGAACCTTCAGGAGTGGAGGGAGGGAACAGCTGAACAAGGTAGAAAACAGTAGGTAAAAACTTTTGAACTAATCAGTAGTGGGGTCAGGTCCATGAATGGCTGCTGCACAAGCCCAGGCAAGATAGGGGGAACCAGTCTCAATAGCAACAACAACAACAACAACAAACTATGTCCTTGACCATTCAAACCATTCTTCTTAACTTTTATGATCTGAATCCCTCTTCATTTAGCAGGATCAGGAAGTAGAAACCTGTATCAGCCTATAAGCTCTTTGAGGATGTGGACTGAGTCTTATTTCCTCTTGTATCCCCAGTGCCTGGCACCTAAATGTTTGTTAAATTGGAAATTGAATAAAATTTGATTTTTTAAATGCCTAGTTGTGTCTGAATAGTGCCCAACTAGAGAACAGGAGACTGACTTATGACAGGGTATGGTCAGTATTGAGATGATGTTGTCAATCTTAAGCTATTCAGTGTGATAGGGAAGTCATTTAATGTTAACATTGTCTCGTTTTGTAGTCTTCATGCAGAATGTGAAAGCTCTCGACCTGGTTCTCCTTTTTGTTGTCTAGATCCAGAGATAATTGACATTATTGGAGCCTTTCCATATATTTGGGATCACTTGCAAATTAAACTTTTTAATATTTGGAATTTGGCAGACATGAGCCCCAATTAGGAAAGACTAATTTCATTAATTCTAGTAAAAGAGATTTATATTCTAGTGTTAGTTTGAGAGCTCTGGATCCAGAGCCAGAGAACCTGGGCTTGAGTCCTGGTTCTATTATTTACTACTTGTAAGAGGGTCAGAATGGTGTGGTGGATAGAGTGGTGGGTGTGGGAGAAGACCTGGGTTCAAATTCTAACTCTGGCATTTATTAGTTATGTCACCATGGATATAAGTCATTTGACTTCTCTGACCTTCAGTTTCCTCATCTGTAAAATAGGGATAGTAATTCCTGTAGTACCTGCCTCTGAGAATTGTAGTGAGGTTCCAATGAGGTGAGGTGTATAATACAATACAATACAATACAATACAATATTAGTGTTGGTCATCATCATCATTATTTACATGCCTTTGGATAAGTTTTTAAATCTCTGCAGCCCTTAATTTCCTTATGTGTAAAATGAGGTGGTTGGTACAGATGACCTTCAATGCCTCCTCTAGCTCCACATCCAATGATCCCTTGATTTAATGTCAGTGAATTCTGGGAATGTTACATTAAACCAGCAAATGCTTGGAGAAGAAACTGTTTCTGGCTTAAGGAAAAGTCTTACTTTGATTTTGTCTATTCTTAAAAGCAATAAGTAGTCAGTAGACTTTAAATTATTGTGGGTTTTTTTAATGTTAGCTACCAGTAGTTCTTCATCATTCATGGTAGCAGGATACTAGGGTAATGAGGGAAGTTACTCAGTTTTTTAGACTGTTCTCTTTTTAAACTGTCTCCTAGAAGAGCACTGGAAGGAAAAATAGCTAACTTGTATTTTACATTTTTCCATCTGTTGTGTCAACCTTCCATTCTCCAGAAACTCTGACTAGAATTACTAACAAATAACAAAGTTGATCAGTTTTGAATATCACCTCTTATTTTCATTGCTCATCTTCCAGACATCATAGTAAGAAGTAAAATGATGAGAGAGAAGAAGATGCATATGGATAAATCTGAATGTTTTCATTTTGGGCCTTAATTTCAAGGTTTCCAGTTTTATCCAATGAATGGAAATAAATAAACTATTTAGAATATTTTTGGGAGAAATAGGTTCCTCTAAAGATCCCCAGGATTTCAATCTTTTCTACAAACCTTGTGACAGAAGAGAGGGGCTCAATCAACAGTAAGTTGGCTGGGGATAGTGATGCATGTCTGTAATTGCTCCTTCTGAGGAGGCTAAGGCTAGTAGATGGCTTTAGTTGGGAGTTCTGAGCTGCAGTAGGGCTAGAGCCAATCAGGTGTCTGCACTAAATCTACTTCCAATATGGTGAGCCCCTGGAGAGCAAAGGTTCACCAGGCTAGCTACAGAGGGATGAACTAGCCAAGGTCCGAATAATGGAGCAAGTTAAAACTTCTGTGCCAATCAGCAGCAGGGGTGGGCATGAATAGCCAGTGTCCTTCTAACCTGGGTGAGGTAGGGAGACCCAATTTCAAAAAACAAAAACAAAGAACAAAAGTTAAAAATAGGCCCCATCAGTATACTTCTGGTGTAAAGTAGTGTTTTGTTTTTCATCATTTGAGCCTCCAGATGGTTGTGGGTGTTTTCCCTGCACATGTGTTAAGCAAAAACAAAGCCCACACATACACATTTTAAAGGCTCTTGGAATTGTTCTTAATATAGAACAATTACGTGCTTATTAAAATTCTAGTATCTATATAAAATTTCTCACAAAAGGATCTTAAGAATACAAATTTATCTGCAAAGAACTAAAAATGTGTGTTGTGGAATCATAAAAACTGGGAAGTACCTTGTTGGTTATGTAATGCACCCTGTATTTGATCAAAACATTTCTTCTACCACATCACCAACAAATGATCATTCAGTCTATGCTTGAAGACCTTCAATAAGGGAGAATAGCAAATGGGCTAGTTTGGATGGCTAAAAAGTACTTCGAGGGGAATAATGTATAAAAAAGCTCAAAAGTTAAGTTGAAGCTAGATTGGGCTTTAAATGCCAAGGTAATGGGAGCCATTGGAGTTCATTGAGCTGGAGAGTGAGATGGTCAAACCTGGGCATTAAGGTAAATCACTTTGGTAGCTATAGGCAGTATAGATTAGATGGGGGAAAGGTCTAAGTCAGGGATGCCAATTAAGAGGTCATTGAAGTAGTTCTGATAAGAAAACAAGAAAACTATATCAGTGGGTCTAAACTAGGGTGATGGCCATTTGAGTAAAGAGAAGCATACAAGAAATGTGGAGGTAGAAACAACAAGATCTGGCAATTTATTGGATATGTGTGGTGAGGGAAAGTGAAGAGTCAAAGATGTCTCCAAGGATGTATAGCTGGGTTACTGAAAAGATGGTTGTGTCTCAGCAGAAACAAGGAAATTCGGAAGTGGTTGAGGAGGAAAGATAATGAGTTCTGTTTTGGACATGTTGAGTTTGACACGCCTGCAGGGCATGCAGTTTGAAATGTTTGAGAGACAGTTGGTGGTACAGGACTGGAGCTCAAGAAAAATCAGGTTTAGACATAGAGATCTGGGAGTCATCTGCATTTGAGTTGATTATTAAATCCCATGGGAACTAATGAGGTAAGTGAAAGAGAGCATATTGAGACTGAGCCTAGGGGTAAGCCCACATTTGGGAACATGATACAGATGAAGATCCTCAGAGGAGACTCAGCAGTTAATGGTGTATAGGACAAAAACTGAGAGAATACTGTCAGGAAAGTCCAGATAGGATAGTTTCCAGAAAAGGGTGGTTAACAGCATCAAAAGCATAAGAAAGATCAAATAGGATGAGAAAAGGCCATCTGACTTGGCAATTTAAGGATAATCTCAGAGAGGCCAGTTTCTGTTAAGTAGTGAAGTTGGAAGCTGGTTTGTAAAGGATTGAGAAGTGAATGAAAGGAGAGGAAATAGAGGTAACAAGAGTAGGACTTTGGCTTTGAAAGGGAGGAGAAATAAAAGAAGACAGTAGCTTGAGGTGGTTAGGGGCAAGTGAGAGTTTTACTTTTTTTTAATGATGAGGGAGATCAGGGCATATTTGTAGGCATCAGGAAAGGAACCAGAAGATAAGGAAAGATTAAAGATGAGAGAGAGAATGAATTATGGGAGCCAAACAGAATGTCTAATCCCTCTTTTACATTTCAACTTTTTTGATACTTGAGACAGCTACTACATTCCCTTTCCCACTTTTCCTCACCAACTGTTATCTTTTTCAAGCTGAATATCCTCAGTCCCTTCTGTCCTTGAATGGCATGAAGTCAAGCAATTTCACTATCCTGGTCACTCTGCTTTGAATGTATTCTATTATGTTTATATCTTTCCTAAAATGTAGAGCCCCATAGTGATTAACCTGACCAGGGCAAAGTATGGAGAGTCATTACGTCCCTTATGCTGGACACTAAGGCTCTCTTAATGCTGTCTAGGAAAACATTAGATTTTTTTTTTACTACCATGCCATATTGTTGATTAATATTAACTTGTGTTCTACTTTGACTCCCAGATCTTTTTTACAGGAATTGTTTTCTAGCTACATCTCCCCTATTCTGTGCTTGTAAAGTTGATATTTTGAACCTAAGTTCAAATTTTTCATTTGTTCCTATTAAATTTCATCTTATTAGATTAGCTTCATTGTTCTGACTTGTCAAGAATTTTTTGGACCAAATTTTTTTTTTGTTTGATATGTCAACTGTCTCTTTCATCTTTCAGTCATCTTGTTTTCTCAAGGAGAGGAGTCCAACAAGAGTCTGGAGAAAGGGAAGTGAGATTTTCCAGGCAATCTCAAAAAAGAGCCCCCTCCCCCTTTTTGCCTAACTATCCTATTGCTAGTCCATATCACTCCATCTTGTCCTCTAGGTTCCTATCTGAGACTTTGTTAAATGCTTTGATAAAATCTGGGGAAACTCTGCCTCCTGCATTCCTCAGATCTACTGATGTTTTTGGTCTCTGATCTACTGGTGTTCTCTTATCTACTT